TAATATTTTTGTTTATATTACGACTTTATTCGTTAGTCTTTAACACGTGAAAAATGTCTTAAATATATCGTCACTCGAACTATTTCGCCATGGTACTAAAATTTGATGAATGCTTAATAATTGCGGTGTTGATGACGATATGTTGATAACTTGCAGTCTTGATCTCTTAAAAATTTAAAGAATTGGGCTATTAAAAAAATATGTGAAAATGTATCTGCAAATGTATCTGAAAAAGCAATTCAGATACCATGTTTTGTATCTAGATACAGATAAAGATACTTCAATTCGAATATATTTCAGATACAGACTCAAGTTTCAGATACACAAAATGTATCTAGATACATATGTATCTAGATACTACCTAACAGTGTATATAATTAATATATATAATTAATATACATATATAATTTATATATATATATATATATATATATATACATATTTTTTTCATTTACAATTTTTTCTTTGTTTATAATAATACAATATATGCATATACTAATATTTTAGTGATATCTTAATTGACAAAATTTAATTATGGTAGAATATTCTTAAGAGTGTTTTAAGAACAAATGTAATACGCGAATTTAAAAATAATTCCATAAGGATAAAACCGCGTTTGTGTATCGGAAATGATCCCCCTCCCCCCCCCCCCCCCCATCTTTCGATTCTACAAAACATCGTCCGGCTTTTGATCTTCGTCCAAGTTGCTAAATTTTTCACAAAGAAACGGAATACTTCAAAGACATCCGCTAACAATCTACATTGTGTCCATTAAATTTGCAGACAGACGCTGCAAAACTTATCATTTCTTTTTTGCAATTAGCAAAATAGAGATTAAAATCTCGCCAACTACTTTGTGCAGCAATATGATACTATCACTTCGAATTTTTCTTATGTTATTGTTATAATAATTTTCAACTTTTTATAAATTTAGCAATTTCATTATTTCGTTCATCATTACGTTTTTATTTACGTAAAAATTTAAAAATAATGAAAAATTATAATATACACACGTAATTATAATTATAATTATATGTAAAAATTATAAAAATAAATAAAAATTTTAATTAATTAAAAGAACATAAAATTATTTTTCTAATATAATTTATTAGGAATTAATGTAACATTGACAAATCTGTTCTCAGGTGTTGTCATTTTATATATAAAACAAGAAATAAAATAAATGATAGAAAAATAGTACTGTACTTTTTTGTAATAAAACAGATTTGAGAAATATTGAATTAAATGGTGATAGTGCATTACTCCAATTAAGAAACTTATATGAACGAGAAAAATGAGAGCAACGTAAAAATATAATTTTGAAAAATGTATATTTTTGTCTCGACTTTTCTCCAGTATAATATTGATGAAAAGATATCTTTCCTACTTTCTAATTAAATATAAACCTCGATATCTAATTCGTCTCGAATGATTCTTCTAATGTAAGAGAAGATAAATTATTCCATAAGTTGCCCCTGCTTCTCTTTTTAAACCCTAATTTGATGTGTCTTTGATTTATTTATCTATTTATCTATTTACTATTAGTATTTCTTATTAATACATCATATAGTTAATAGAATTAATTACTCGAGTATTTGTTTTAATATTTATATTAGCAGCAAATTTTAATGTCATTTTAATTTGTTTTCGAATTGTACGAATTTTGATGAAGTAAAGTATATATATTGTTTAAGAGATTAAATAAAGAATAAAATCTGCATTTAAAAAAATTACTTTTCTCTTCGGAAAAACCTTATACTCTAGATAGAGTGTATTAATAATTACGAGATGTATATAAAGATAAAGAAGCTATATAAAGTAACTGGACTGATTTTCTTTTAATTCTTTGTGTGAATGCTAGCTATCGAACACGAATGACACCATTTTAAAGCTCCAAAAATCGGGTCTAATAACTGTAAAAAACTTCATTACCTTCAGACGCGTGTCAAATATATGTCGATCGGAAATTTGATATCGCCGCGAAAACACAATAAAGCAAAGTGTAGAAAATGTCAAAGTTCTGTGGAAAACTCGAGGGAAAATATGATGCTAACTTGCGAAATGTGTTAAGACCGAAGAAAGTTTATCAATGTGTTAAGACCGAAGAAAATTTATCGAAATGATCGCGGGTGTACACAAGTTTTTATATACATAGTTCGAAAGATTTAAGGATTAAAATAGCACCATGTCCAAAATTGATGCATAAGACATTATTACAAAATCTTTCAGAAATCTTATGATATGTTATCCCAAAGACATCTTAAAGATGTCTTATGCACTAATTTTGGACATGGTGCTGTCTGGGAAAGATGCGGTGAAGGACAACCAGCTTTGGTTGAAAAAGTGTAGGAATTAATGAAAAATTGACACGAATGTTTATTTTATATATGAATGTTAAAGGAAGACCTCGACGTATCGTAAAGTCAAGATTTGTAACATTTTAGAGAGAGAGAGCCTAGTATTTGAACAATATGGAAAACCCATTCCTATATAAAGTTGTAATTATATTACAGGTTAGGATCAGATTGAAATTTCACCAATTAAAACAAAGTTCATTAAACTTGAGATTGGTTTTCTTCTGATTGGTTATATTTCAATTTAATCTCAATCCTAACCTATGGTGTAATTATGGCTTAATTTTGAGATTCCAGACATCTTCATCAGACTGGAAGGAGAAATCGTTTGAGTGGAACACTCATATAATGACTTGACTATCTGCCATAATCGCATCTGGTATTCTGTCTGACTATTATTTGTTTTCAAAATTGAAAATTCGTCAAAAGAAATCGACTGCAATTCTTGTAATCAGTGTTTGCTATCTAAATAAATTTATGTAGATGATCATCTAAATGAAATTTTGACGTCATCTTACAATTAGATACAAAATGATTATCTACATTTGCATTTTAGATGATAAAAAGTGTTATCTTTATATTTGTCTCCTCCAATTTTAATATATAAAATATATGTTATAGTACCACCCTCTCATAAGGATATCTCAGGTAAAATCACTTGATGCAATTCTCAAGCATTCATGAGACAAAAATTAATTTACATTTTTTCGATTAATATAAAAATTATATTTTCTATATATATTTCTATTTGTCCTCGAAATTCTTAAAATCCTCAAAAGATTCACAAGGTTTTGGATAATAATATCATTAAAACATTTAAAGCGTAATATTGATTTACAATGAGCACATTGTACAAAATCGACATTATCAAAATCGGTTTCGAATTTGTCCCCTCCGATTTTAATATGTAAAACATATCATAGTTCGACCCTCTCACAAATCACAGGTAAAGCCACTCGATGCAATTCTGAAGCATTTATAAGAAAAAATTAATTTAAACATTATTTAACATTTTTATCTTTATTTATTTTCATTGTTTTTGTTAAACTTTAATTAATTTTTAAACCACAATCTACACTTCATTTCTCTCGACTAATAGAGCCAAACGATTAAGAAAGAAAGAAAATTTGGAAACTAAGGAATTTGAATCCTATGGTTGGGATCTCAGAAATTCCCCTTGTTCCTTCTCTTAACATTCCCTGTAAAGAAATAGGCGAGAAAAATATTGGTCCGAAAGTCGGCTGAATCGGGAAAGTTGGAAGAGCAGTCGTCCGGCAAGCGGAAGATCTCGGGCTCGTTTCCCGATTCAGCCGACTTTCGGATCAATATTTTTCTCACCTATTTCTTTACAGGGGATGTTAAGAGAAGGAACAAGGGGAATTTCTGAGATCCCAACCATAGGATTCAAATTCCTTAGTTTCCAAATTTTCTTTCTTTCTTAATCGTTTGGCTCTATTGGTCGAGAGGAATGAAGTGTAGATTGTGGTTTAAAAAAATTAAAGAGTTGACTTAAAAATATTCTTATTATTGTTTGATTAATTTTTTTATTTATTTATTATCCATATAATAATATTTATATGCACTGAAAAAGTTGTATAAAATTAAAGTTTAAAAAAGCAATGAAAGTAAATAAAGATAAAAATGTTAAAAAAGTTTTAATTAATTTTTTTCTCATAAATGCTTGAGTATTGCATCGAGTGGCTTTACCTGTGACTTGTGGAAGAGTGGAACTATAACATACTTATATTTTACATATTGAAATCGGAGGGGACAAATTCGGAATCGATTTCGAAAATGTCGATTTTATACAATGTGCTCATTGTAAATTAATATTACGCTTTAAATGTTTTTATGATAATTATCATTCAAAACCTTGTGAATCTTTGAAGATTTTAAGAATTTCGAAAACGAATAGAAATATATATAAAAATAAAATTTTTATATTAATCAAAAAGAAGTAAATTAATTTTTTTCTTATGAACGCTTGAGAATTGCATCGAGTGGCTTTACCTGTGACTTGTGAGAGGGTAGTACTACATATATTTTATATATTAAAATCGGAGGAAACAAATCCAAAGGCCTCCTCTTGTTAGATGATTTCAAAATTAACCAGATAAAGGTGAGATGAAAATATATAAATTTATCTTACAATTACATAGATAAGATAAAAATAATTTTGTTTTATATCCAGATTTTCAAGATTTTGAGCACCTAGAAAATGATCCTGGAAGAACTATATCTATATCCAGAAATCACTGGTTAAGATCAGGTGTTCAAGATTTTGAACAATGAAATACACAAAATTGATCCAATTTATTCAAATAAAATGTTTCTTTAGCATCGGTACCCGGTTAAGACCAAGTGTTGATACCAAAGAAACGTTATTCAATTAAAATTGCATCAATTTTCCATTAATGTTGTGTATCCCATTAATTTTGTACGGAGTCTCCGATTATTTTGTAGTCACACTTTGTCTGTTCCATCACGATTTTCATTAATTGCTTTCTATTTGCATCAAAACTCAGATAAATCTCACTTTTGTCTTTCTTTAACATGGATGTTGAAGAAAGACAGAAGTGAGATTTATCTGAGTTTTGATGTAAATGGAAATGAACTTTTGTTACTTCTCCGCATTTAAGTACTTAC